GTGTATTTAGGATTTAAGTAACCGGACGGCAAAATCTTTACATTTGTGCACTGTATTTTAATGAATAGTTAAAGTTTTAAAAATACAACATAGCAATTTCAAATAAGTAGTTCAGAAAACCAACAGATATCAGTTTAGAGTTAATCATACTATACCCATAATTGTTTGTATTTTTTTTTTATTGTAAGTATTTCTGACTATTTTGCTATTTTTTCGGCTTTGCCTTTTTGCCTAATCCTTTTTGGACTGTTTGCCTTGTGTTATGTTTGTATTTTTGTATATTATGTCTTTTTTTGAACTTGACCTGTGCCTGTTTGCTGACCATGATTCTGGATTGCGATTACAACAGTAAAGCCTCTCGTTCTCTTTTTACCCGTGAGCATCTAAGTCATTCCGTCATGTTAAAGAACACCTCACCACCAGTGCAGACGGTGGATCTGAAGGCCACTTATTACTTACATAAACAAGTATTAGCTGGGGTAACCCGTTCTCTCGAGTCTTTGGCACATTAACAGGCTGAGCAACAAGCCCAGCAGGTACAACTCGTGGTCAGTGTGAAGGGTCTCACCAACCAACTTCAGACCCTGAGTACTGCAGAGCCGGAAGCAAGTTCCACCAGCTCCCATCCCTAACCGAAGTGCCCAATTCCCTGTTTCTAGTGAGTAAGCTGGATAAATTCGATGGTAACCCTGATAAGTGTGGGTTTTTGTTACAATACAATATCTCTTTTATAATTCAACCACAAGCTCTGATCAGGATGAAGTCTCGCTCTTGGTATCTTGTTTGTCTGATAAAGCTTTAGAATGGACCTGGTCTCATATCCACAACTTGTCATATGCTCAATTTTTGAAATAATTCAGAACCGTTTTTGTGTATCCCTATGAAGGAAAGATAAGTGGAGAACTTCTGACCAAACTACATCAGGGTAGCTGCTCAATAGTAGGCTACGCTTTAGAATTCTGCACAATCGCAGCTAGTAGTCTGTGGAATGAGGTGGCCCTTGTCATGTTTGCCAGGGACTGAACCTGGAAATTCTGACTGAACTGGCATGCAAGGACGATGACCTAACACTAGATCAGGTTATAACTCTGTCTATTCACCTTGATCAGTTGATTAATAACCTTGGCAAACGAAAAGCTGATCATTCTAGGAGGATGGTAGCCAGAGTCAGAACATCCCCTGAACCCATGGAACACAAGGAGTTTGAAGAACCCATGCAATGTGACTCATCCCACTTGTCTAAGGAAGAAAGGCTCTGTCGGTTGAGAGAGGGCCTTTGTTTTGTTTGATATCATTCCCAATGTAATAGACAATGCGAGCCATGAATCAGGAATTAGGAAAGTTCCTTAGGATATTCTGCCACAACAACCCCACGGACTGGTCCAGATTATCTCTGTGCGCTGAAATTGCACAAAATTCCCTCAGTAGTTCAGCTCCCAGACTTACCCTTTTTCAGTGTGTTCTTGGTTACCAGCCCCCTTTAGTGTCTTGGAACGGTGTCACTACAGATGTGCCAACCATCGACGCTTGGATGTGAGAGGGTCTGGGAGGAGACGCATCAGAGGATAGAGGTTGCTCTGCAATGAAACAAGGATCAAGCTGACCGTCACCATGGAAAGACCCCCGTGTATCAACCTGGAAATCGAGTGTGGCTCTCGACAAGCAGGGAAGTAAAAAGTTGCAACCAAAATATATTGGTCCATTCAAAGTATTCAAACATAGCAAAGATGTAAGGTGTAAATTGGACTTTCCCCCCATTTTAGAGGTTCTCATTCATTCCATGTTTCTGTTCTGAAACCTGTTATTTCAGGGCCTTTGGACGAGGCTACGCCATTATGCCCTCCAGAGGAGATAGATGGAGCGCCCGCTTATGCTGTCCGTTGGTTGCTGGACTCCCAGAGACGTGGAGGTAGTATCTAGTATCTCATGGACTGGGGGGGATACGGCCCCGAGGAGCAATGTTGGGTTTCCGCAGGTGACATCCTGGATCCCTGCTTGATTGCTGACTTTCATGGTCAACATCCGGATAAACCTGCTCCTCAACCCAGGAGTCAACCACGGAAAATGGCTCCCAGTTCCCTTTCTCATTGTCTGCCCAGCGCAGCGGCAGCTCTGGGTCTGCACCTGTTTGGTTCTCCGTTCGTGGCCGTAGGGTACTGTCACACATCCCTTCAGCTCTAGGTCTCTTTGGACTCCATCTCCCAGAACCCTCTCCATCTCCTCACATGACTCCTGAACCTCCCTCACGCTCCAATCAGTGCTATCAGTCTCCAGAGTATTGATCCGATGCCTCCATTCTTCCATAAACTGCTATTGCATAAACTGATTTGACTACAGTTACCCTGTTTAATAGTATTTAATTAATCAGTTAGGTACTTAGTTACATATGTATGAGTTTTACATTACAAGTGGTTCAAAAAAAAAAATCAAGTTATGGGGCTGTGTTTTACAGTCATAATCTGTTAATTACCCTCGTAAAGTCTCACATTTCTATCACAGATATGTAGTATGTTAGTGTTACATTCCCTTTTGGTTGTATCTAGGGGTAAAGGGGATGTAACATGGAGTATGTGATGAGGGGTGGAAGGGAGAGACACAGACAACAGGAATGCCACTTTTTTACTCAATGCTTTACTTTCCAGAAAAGGGTGTATTATACAACATTGTGCAACATTCACCTTAAGTGTGTTTTAGTGAAGCAGGAAAAAGAGATAGGCCAATCGAAAATAAAGAGAAAACGTCCAGCCAAGCAATGTCACTAGTATAAATATGTAACAGGCTAACAAGGTTGATTGAATGGTTGGATTGCACCTGTTAGAGAAGTGAGATAGATGGGAATAGAAAAATTGGGGTAGAAAAAAAAAAAAAAACTTAAAAAAAAAACCTTCTGTCCTTGCACACAACAGTTAGTCTATTTTATGGTTGCTGCAAATCTGTAATGTTACATATCAAGAAATCAGTCAGTCTGGGTTATGTTAGCGTAGCACCTCTTTATCATAGAGATAAACAAAGCAGGCGATTAACGTAGCACTGGGCCTGAGTCAGGTTATCAGCCATGTCAGACATGCAGTGTCATGAAGCATGTTCTCCAGCTGTAAACATCTGTGAGTTTTTAAAATCTCCTCACTGGAGAGCATTTTCCAAAAGCTTTGTTTTCAGTGACCTAAAACATCAATGTCGTGTGAGCAGGAGGCCAAAATGTGGAGAAAGAAAGCACACTTTAAAAAAAAATAATATCTGTAAGGATGAGCAGGTCTGTATGCAGTTTAGACAAAAATACTGCTCATCTCCAATAAGCCATCAGTGTTTATTTTGCTTTGCTTTACCAAAACAGAACTCACTGAAAAACTGCTGTAGGCTGTTGGTGTGGTACCCCAGGTGGTTGTTAGGTTGTTGCTAGGTGGTTGCTACGGTATCCCAGGTGGTTGCTATGGTATTCCTAGTGGTTGCTAATATGTTACCAGGTGGTTTCTATCGTATAACAAGTGGTTGCTAAGTTGTTGCTAGGTGGTTGCTATGGAGTGTCTAATAGAGTGGACAGTGAGTGGACAGTGTCTATAAACTCCAGCAGCACTGCTGTGTCTGATCCACTCGCACCAGCACCATGTCAGTGTCACTGCAGTGCTGAGAGTGATGCACCAGGGTGCGCTGACACTCATGAGCATAGAAGCTTTGTTATGAAAATGAACGTTTAAAGAGGCTCATGGGAGGTGCACACTGGCAGTAAAAAGGGACTTTTTGTTGTTGTTAATGTCACTGGTTGTTAGTTTAAAGATGTGTTATGTGTTATTCATGTTATTCTGTGTTAGGGTGTGGGTATAGTTAGTTGGGTTGGTTGAGTGTCTAACATAGAGAGGAGTTCTATGGTTAAAAGTAACCTCCCTGCTATTTCATCTGGTTTTCAAGTGGCTTTTCTGCAATGTCCTAAATAAAAAAAAACATTTTTGAGGAGAAAAAATGCTCTCATCTGACTTCTCTTTTCCAAGATTTCATAGTATGCATAAATACTAAAACAGATGATAAACAGATGAACTACAAAATGTAATTATAGATCTAGAAAATGCACCTATATGATAAGTAGAGATGACAAAATGGACAGTGAGTGTAGAAACAAGGAGGTGGACTTAATGAAGTGGCCAATCGGTGTACATCTTTATCTTATGTAGCAAAGTTTTTTTTTTTCTTGTTAACTTAAGTGGAGAAACTTCTGTACTGGTGGGGAATTTACATTAATAATAATTAAGGAATAACATACACATTTTCATAGTAATATTTATGTTTTTATTGGGTTCAGCATATCACATGAGACGTCTTGGACTGTAAGTGATTCAATCCAGGAGAGTCAGTTAATAAGTGAGGGCCAACCAGCAAAGTATCGTCTACTCACAACCTAAGTTGAGGTAATTAAGATAAGTAGTGACAAGATCAGAAAAAGGACATTTGGGCAGAAAGACATCTGCAAAACAAAAGAACTGTGAATTAGCGCTGAGGGTAGACAATTTTCTTTCTAGATCTTTACTCCTTAATTTCATGACTGTAAATCTGTAGACTTATAATGTAGAAAGGTACTAAACAGGAGGACTAAGTATAATTTCTAAGTGACAGTGTTTGATGAGCACATTTAAATCACTGTGTTCTGAGTTGTTTCAGTATCTGTGAATATGGCTACATTAAAGACTGCATTGCACAGAAACATTTCACAGACACTGATGCAGTATTTGGAAATACTAAGTGCATATTTTGTTATTTTACAGAGTCTAAAGTCTAAATTAAGTCTACTGTTGTTTAACCATCATTCTTCGTGTGTGGGAAAGTGGATGGATTCTTAGAAACCATGTGATGTTTTTGCTAATGAAGGTAAAGGAAGTGGTTTGTTCTGTCTTCTTCTGCTTCTGTGATGCTTCTTCAACCTCAAGGAGCTGGTGGTGGTCAATGCTGCATTAAATTGTGCAACCTGCACTGCGACAATTTGCTTATTATTTAAATAATATTATAAAAAGGTAAACGACAATTAAGTATCGTTTTTGCCCTAATATCAACATTTTATATCAACATTTTACTCCTGACAGAGGAGCATTTCTACAACACAGGTATGTTGAATTTGAATTTGCATTTTCACTGACAGTCTGGCACTTGACTTTGTTTGATAAGGAAAATATTAAGTGATGCTGATATATTAGTAGGTGTAAATAGCAGTCAGATATGCTCAAGTAAAACTATCTTTATCTATAAAAAATGTTCTGATAAATATAAAGTTTGTTTGATATCCATTGTTTGTGATCAATTTTTATTCAGTTTTGCATACATGTGGAAATATTTGACCAGTAGTAGTTGTCAGTTAAATGGAAAAAATGGAGGAAAATGGGAGTAAGGGATAGCCTCCAAAAAAAAAAAAAGATCTAAAATCTTTTTTTTGTATGGTGATAATAGTGCAATGAAAATGCCTTTATATAATTTCCAGATTAGCAGATAGCAGATGCCATTTCAGTCCAAGCTTGTGTAGTCTTTGATTGATCCTTGTTCAATCTTGCGGTCACATCTTCAAGGGTCACAATTATGTCAAGTGTACAAATCCAAAATCTCTGTAAATTAAAATGAGGAGTAAACCAAAATTAAATAATCGACTTTTTAGCTGCAGTAAAACCAAAGTATAGCATTATATGTTGGTTAAGTGTAAAATTTCAGAGAGCTGGGTTTGGCATATAAATAAGATTTAAAACTTTCATTAAAGTAGTAACACATTTCCAAAAGCAGAAAATAGGCTTGCATTCTAAGAATATATGTAGAAAAGTGCCTTCTGTATGTCCAGAACAAAGCTGACAGTTGTGATTGGGAAAAAGACCCATTTTTTAATATCTGTAGGGTGTATAATAATATCTGTAATAATAAGGTGTAAGGTATATAATAATATCTGTGAATCTGTGATTTTTGTTTGATCTGTATCTTGATACTGTTATCATTTTTATTATTATTTGCATTACTTTTGGCTCTACTTTTTCATATGCTTTCATATGCTTACATATGCTTTCCCTTATGGATGTTTAAATACTGTTAACAGGTTATTCAGCTGTGCCAGAGTCTCCTGAGACATCTGTATTAAGCTACAACACATGGCTTACAGGTGAGAAAAGAAATTTGTTGAGGTTTAATATTTTGATTAGCTTTCTGCATAGTTCAACTAAGGTGCTGTGGGGAACAGAAGATACTGACCTAATGTAATTTGTAATTGCATTGTAGTATTCTTTTCCTATGTAGAACATTTTGATTTGGTATATATACAGTCATATGCAAATGTTTGAACAACGCTGGTCAGAAGACATGTTTTGTTAATTCAGTAAAAGTAAGTGAATGCATCCTGTACAGAAAACACACTTCTGCACATTTTAATGCACAATTACTGTTTATTTGCTGAATTTCATTTTAAAAATAATAAATAAAACAAACAAACAAAAAAATAAAATGTTGCCTGTGAAGAAGTTATGGCACATTTTATAGATTATGCATTCTTATCTCATGTGACCAAAGCTTTGCACACTTGTGAGTGACAGACGGCAGTTTTTGCAAAGGACACATAAAAGGAAATGCTTGCTGTTTTTTCCCAAAGAATCAAATTCTGTTCACATTTGAAAAAACAACAGAGAAACAATATAAGCACATTTTTCTCTATAAAATGTCTCTCTTTATTGGGTTCAGCAGGTCACAAGGGACATCTTGGACTGTCAGTGATTTGATGGAAAAGAGTCAGTTAATCAGTGAAGGAAAACCATCACGGTATTGTCTGCTTACAACCAGAAGTAATCTAGATAAAAGTGGTAAAATCAGAAAATGGACATTTGGTCAGCGATACATCAACACTCAAAACAAAATCATACTGGTGGTGGGAGAAACTAGAACAGGCAAAACCACTCTGATCAACGGCATAGTGAATTACACACTAGGAGTGAAGATCGATGATGATGTTTGGTTTGAGATCACAGAAGACAGAGGAGTGAATCAAACTGAACCTGAAACAGCAGATCAGACAGAAAAACAAACAACTGAAATCACTGTCTATGAAGTTTTTGTCCAGGAGAACCAAATCTCTGTTACCATCATTGACACACCAGGTTATGGAGACACCAGAGGAGCAGAATATGATCAACAGATTGCTGAAAACTTGTTTAAACTGTTTAAAAATGACACTGGAGTGAAGGAAATAGATGCAGTGTGTCTGGTAGTGAAGGCAGCTGAGAATCGTCTCTCTGACAGACAGCATTACATTTTTGATGCAATTCTGTCTCTATTTGGTGAAGACATAGAGGAGAACATTGTGTTTTTTATGACACACTCAGATGGAGGACCACCAACAAACATCATTAATGCCATCAAGAAAGCGAAGATTCCTTGCAGGAAAGAAAACGGAACTGATCCTGTTTATTTCTTATTCAACAACCGGCAAGCTGAGCAACGGACCACGAAACATCAGAAAGCATATCAGTTTGCTTGGGAGCTCACAGAGGAAAGTCTAAAGGATTTCTTCACATCTTTGAAAGACCAGAACACAAAAAGCTTAGAAAAGACTGGAAGAGTTCTGACAGAGCAAATTCGACTGAAAGCCTGTGTTTCTAATCTGCAGGAACGCATTGAATTCAAGGAGCTCAAACAGGAAGAACTGACTCAGATTCAGGAAGCCCTCAAAGAAAACCAGGAAAACATTGAGAGAAATGAAAACTTTTCTTTTACAGTCACCAGGAGTCACAAGGAGAAAGTCAGCATTGGAAACGCTTCACATTGGGACAGAAAGGCAACCTGTTGCTCCGTCTGTCAGGAGAACTGTCATGAGTACGACTGCTGGTGTGCCATCAACCCCTTTTTGTGTGAAGTCATGAAAGATGGTCGCTGCACTGTGTGTTCAGGGAAGTGTCACTACAGCCAACACATCAGAGAGAACAAGAAATATGTTACAAAGAGTGAAAAGGTAGAAATCATGTATACGGATGTGATCAAACAATATGGCAGCACTGACGAGTCCACAGCAGATATCAGTTTAGACTCCGAGAAATTTGAGCAGAAAGAAGAGAGGATAAGCATAGAGACCAGACTGAAAGAAGAACTGAGTGAGACTGAAAAAGAAAAGACCCAACTGGTGGAAGAGGCCTGCAACACCATCATCAGACTGTCTGAGATTGCATTAAAACCAGACTCTGCCTTCATTATTGAATCTCTGGACTTCTTGATCCCCCAAGCTGAGGAATCTGGACATCTCGACTGGGCTCAGAGACTGAAGGAGCTGAGGAAGATTGAACCTGAAGCACATGTAAGAGCCCATGCTGCACTGAGCTATTTGAGAGCAGGTTTTTATAAAGGTGTTAATAAAGTTACTGGTCTTGTTAAAAAATAAATAAAATACATGGTGGCATGGAACAATGAAAAAAGCATGGATACAAATTTGTTCATTCAAATGTTCATGCTGTATTCACATGTATCCTTTTAATCATTTTGTTATTGGGTTAGTTTTGAATGATTATTGTCTAATGGAAGCTAGTGGAATTCACTACACTCTGTAATTCCTTTTGATGCTATTTTGTCATATTAATTAATCACCTTATGAATGTATTCATAGTTATCTACATTAAGTTTATTGGGCTCTGGTTTGAACTGTATAACAGTTACATTGCTGTACTTGGAAATTAATTTCTAAAATAAATAACATTTAAAAAAATGCATATGAGCGACAAATTTATTGGAAACATTGGAGACAAATCCTATCATGTGCACTGTGTCTGCACAAAGATAGAGAAAAAGACAGAGAAAAGTATGAATTACAGTGCACAAAGAGAAAATAACCTGGCATTTTACAAGTCACTGCACCACTGCACCAAATCACTCCTTTGAATTCGCCATTATGAACACAGTATGGAGGATTCTGCCATGGACGGCTCCAGAACCTTTCTTTCCTGTCTTGACTCTTCCCTGTAAATATTACAGGCAAATGGATCAACGTTTGAACAATATTACTATATTCAAAACATGCAGTCACATAAAAACAATTGTACACAGGGTCATTAATTAGAAGCGCTGCTCTTATGAAGCATCAAAACCTATTTGACTGCTAATGGCGCCCCCTTTTGAATCATCCTCAGCCAACTTAGGGTGACAAGCTAGTTCTATGAGGTGCTTAACATCTAAAAACATGCAAAACAAATGTAAAAGTAGACATTTGAGAATGTACACATGTACACAACCTGAACTTATAGGGAAAAACAGCAGCACTCCAGCACTTATATCAGCCAGTGGTGGAAAGTTACTAAGTAAATGTAATTCATTACTGTACTTAAGTAGTTTTTTTTGTGTATCTGTACTTTACTGAAGTATTTCCATTTTGGGCATCTTATTACTTTCACTCCACTACATTTCAAAGTCAAATATCTTACTTTTTTCCTCCAGTATATTATGCGAAATCTGTTGTTTCTTTTGGTTTATGTGTGTGAAAAAATTTAACATGTCAAAACAAAAGAAGTGCAAAGCAAGAACACCAATCAGGGCACAGCGGTCACTTTGTTTTGAGCTTGTTTTGACCTGTTGGTCATACCGACCCAGTGCAGCACATGGTTCAACGTCAGTGCAGCAGCGTAAGATTTTGGGAGTGTCTATTCAACATAAATGATGAACTAACCTAACTTTGTGTAAACAGACCACAATATAGAAATATGTACATATGCAGTTGTGACTGACGTGTCTTTTTTCAGAATTTATACAAACAGAGTTTCATTTTACAGTAAATTTGTTTTTGCTAGTTTATGTTTATGAACAGAGACCTACAGATGCAGTTTAGTACAGGAAAACTCATTTGTGTTTAAAGCAAGTTTTTATTAAACTTAAACTTGTAATTAAGTTGAAGTTAATTAATCTTTTGGTACTTTTACTTTCGATAAGTACCAAGTACATTAGAAGGCAAATACTTTTGTACTTTTACTCAAGTGGACGTCTAAAGGAAGGAACTTCTACTTTTACTGGAGTAATATTTTACCTTGGATGTCTCTACTTTAACTCAAGTACATGATTTGTGTACTTCGTCCACAACTGGTACCAGCACAGCACACTAGCACATCACCACCACGTCACTGTCACTGCAGTGCTGAGAGTAATCTGCCACCCAAATAAATAATACCTGCTCTGTGGTGGTCCTGACCATTGAAAAACAGGATAAAAGGGGGTTAACAAAGCTTGCAGAGAAACAGATGGACTACAGTCTGTAATTGTAGAACTATATATATATATATATATATATATATATATATAGCTATACAATATATATAACTATATATTATTCCATTAGTTTCATTGTATGTGCATTTTACCCAATTTATTCATGATGCAAATGAATGATGTATTAATTCTCATGCATTCTTCACACATTATGATGATTGATGCAT